GGCATATGCCTTGAAGGATTCGTCGTCTTTCTTACTTAGTAATTGTAGATCCGCTCTGTCAGGGGTCGATCAATATTGTATTTATAGCGACAAAGAAAAGCTTCGCCAAATGCCTCCAGTGTTTGGATTTGCCCTCCTTCCAGCTTGCATTTACCAATTTAGGGTCGATTCGACTAAGCTTTCCGAAAGCAAGTGGATCAGGAGCTTTTCATTATCCGCATATGCAGCCATCTTACTGCAGTACATTGTAAGATGGCTTTTGGGGCAGGTCATTCCCATGTATTTTGGGAAGTCCAGAGTTTTGAACTTGTTAGGGAATTGGATATTTTTGACGAGGCACATATCGCTCGCCTCTTTAACATCAAAATTATGCCCTTCCATGGCTCTCAATCTCTCTTCAAGGGCAATCACCGTTGTTATGATACTTCCGAGCATGAATATGTACCGCCCTTGTACCAGATTGGTCATGCTCATCATTGGGTTCCTCCTCTTCTTCTTGGTGGGAGGCTTGTCCACTTTGAGGACCTTCCTTATGGAGATTTTGCTGGCGCATCATTTCCAGCATTTGAGCCATTTGCTCTTTCAGCATGTTGAGCTCAATGGTGAGCTTTCGATTTTGCTCCTCTAGCTGTTCCATCTTCTTAGCTTTCTGGGCGCGAGTGAGGATGGGTGGAAGACCAACCACTTTCTAAATGATTTTAACGATTTTTATTATAGCCTTTTATTTTAAATTATTAGTGTGAAATAGATATGCCTTAGACAATAGCTTAGGTATCTTCTCAAAAGCTTATGTTTTAAGGGTACCATACCCTTCTTAATGTGTTAACTTTCCCTTTTTTTTTTTTAAAAGTTGTCAACATACCTTAACGCACATATCTCTTTTGCTATTGTCTAAGGATATCTAATACGTCCTAGAATGAATGCGTTTATGAGAGATTTTATTATGATGATGTTGTATGCATATTTTCCTTGATGCATTTATTTTCTCTCTGAGTTTTACCACTTATTGGATGATGTGGTATGAGTGATACGACTTTGCCAAGAATCTTTTTATTATAAAAAGGAATTTTTATGGCTTTCATTTGTTTTTATATTTTTTTATGACCCTTTATCTCTTCTGTCGGTCAACGTGGCTACTTAGCTTGCAAAGAACCTGAAACCAGGCTAGCTTAACTGAAGACTGTCCGAGATAAAGGTGGTTATCTTATCACTTTTTGATTTTTAGGGTTTTTCATTTTTTATTTGCTATATGATTACCCTATGCTAATGCATCAATACAAATGCAGCAAACGAATGCACACACAATTCATACATCCACGAGCAGAGCCACGCTTATTTAATCACGAGGTAGGGTTTTCCTGCAGAAACGTGCTTGGTTTGGGTGGTTCTAACTGTTCTCACCAAGGCCAAAGGTCCCCAAGGTGCCCCCATTATAGGGACCTCTCAATCTCTCAGTCCTCGGGTCATGCACGGAACTCCGTGTCGACATCCTTAGACCAAAAGAAGAGAGTTATCACCTTGAGTTGGTGGTTTCCGACAACGGTTGTAGCCCCGTGTGCCAACAAGCCGGTCGTATCTGCCACCCACTCCCTAAAGGTATTCACTCTTGCCCCCGGGTATAGAGGGACTGTTGTGTGCAAGGGTTTTTGTGTGCAATTTATATTTCAAACAATTTTGCAGAAAATAATCATACAGCAATTATTAAAGACATACAATAAAAATACAGAAGAGGGTAAAGGTGTAATTTCAAATCTTTACTTAGTTTGAATTTATCCGTCACTAAATGGGATCAACTCTCTAGCTTTCCCAGTGGAGTCGCCATCTGTCGCCGCCGTCCGTTCCGACGTCAGGGACATCTCGAACGTTCGATGCGAGCAGTCGCGAAAAGATGGTTTAGACTCGCGTTTTTTGTTTAAAGTGTGTTCATTGCTTCCGAGGTGCTCAACAACTGAACTATCCTCTAATAAAAGCAAGGTTTTCGAAAAGGGTTCTTTTGGAGTCACCACCAATGTTTTGACCATAAACATTGGAAAAGGATGAAAAGGCGTTGATTTTATTAAAAACCAAACTTGGCCATTATAACCAGAGTTAGGTAAGGGAGTTAGTTACGTGTGGGGAAGGTGTTAGCACCCCACAACGCCCCTTTCGGGTTCCCTATGACGGATTAATTCATTTAAGTAGAGATTACAAGAAATTATGCTATTACCCTATTTTATTCGTACAATAAATATGGTTATCTACATGATTTTATTTACATTTTATAAAGCAATAAATAAAGCAGTAAAAGAGAAGAGATTTGAGAAGAACCTCCGTAGCAAGCTTTATATAGCAACTCTGTTACAATAAGGACGCGTTTCGGCAGTCCCTCGCTCTACAACGACTCTCCTCACAACAAAACTCGACTCGACTAAAATTTTCTAGAAGAATCGAATGCCGGAATCTAATTCCTTAACTGATTGTTACCTATATCAGGCAATCAGAAAGATCATTCGAAAGAGGGAGAGAAGTAGACAAGTGCTCTGAGTTGTCTGGAGTGTCCGAGGTGTGAAAAAGTGCCAAATGAGCCTCCTATTTATAGTTTTCGCTGCCTGGCACATCTGGGACGGCCGTCTGGGCCGGGACGACCGTCTGGGTTGGGACGGCCATCCCAAATGCATTTTTTACACAGGCTGGGACCCCCTGGGAAGTGGGACGGTCGTCCCACATGTGGGATGCGCGTCTCACTTGTCCCAGGATAGTTGGGACGGCCGTCCCAACTCTGGGACGGTGGTCTCGACCTGTTTCGTCCAGTTTTTGTGTTCTGGGACCCCGGGAAGCTTTCCTTGCTATTTTTGGACATTGTTTGATGCCGATAGATGTCCCCTGAAGCTTTATCTTTATATGGGAAGTCTTTTTGACCCTTATTGAGATGTCGGACGAACTTTTATCTTTGTTTATAGGAGGTCTCTTTGGCCTTTGTCGAGGAATTTGGATGAACTCCATGTGATTGTAGGAGGTCTTCTTGGTGTTTATTGATAAGCTGGGTGATCTTTATCTTCGTGTGACGTTTCCCTAGCTTTTATTGAGAGGCCGGGCAAAATTAGGGGTCTACAGATCCCACGAGGAACGATTTCAATGAAAATTCCAAATCATATGCTTACTAAGTGGATTAATACAAATTGGGTTTTTCAATAAGATTTGGGTTGAAAATAAATGACAAAGAACAGTAAAGTGTGTTTAGAAAATATTAAATAAAAGAACTTAGGATTGGTTTCCTTCCTTTTCCCTCTTTTGCATAATGGCTAGGTCAAATTAAGAACATCAATTAACCTATCAATGTTGGTGTCACCTACTCAAATCATTCAATTTGATTCATTGCATGTGAAATTCATAAGAAAACCTGATAAACATCGATTCCTCCCACAGTTACAAGATTTTCCAGTATTAGGTTTAGGGTGTTAAGCACGTGATACATTCATTCCATTTCTGGTAATTAACATAGCAAATATTCTTACCTGATCTAGGGTTTCAAGATATATTTTACAATCATATGCCAAACATCAAGAATAAATAATTCCAAAACACAAAAGATAAGAATAACAACATCAAAACATAGATTAATATCTCAAAATATCACCATGACACAAAAAGTTCCAAGGAAGTGCACCCAATCCTAAGAGAATGAAGTTAGCCACTCATGGTGGCCATTACAATGTTCTAAATAAGGAAGAATTGAAGAATCCTTGAAGAACAAAACAACAGTCGCGCCTCTTCTCCAAAAACCTAAAATTACATCTCAAAATGCGTCTTATCTTTTTATAGGAAATTTTGGGCCTGGCCTCGCATCATTCGCTCAAGCGATCCATTATTCACTTGAGCAAAAAATAGTAACTTTCGCTCAAGCGAGAAATGTTCGCTTGAGCGAGTATAAACCTGAAAGCTTTGTCGTATTTTCACTCAAGCGAGAGTAGATGTCACTTGAGCGAGTGCACACCTGAGAGGTTTGTTGTCTTTTCGTTCAAGCGAGCGTAGATGGCGCTTGAGCGAGTGAACTCCCGAGAGCTTTAACGTATATTCGCTCAAGCGAGCGTAGATGGCACTCGAGCGAATTTCCAGTAGAAAATGTTCTTCTTTCTTTTACTTTTTCTTCAATTATCTTCACAATTGTGATCTTTGCTCTTGTATCTAGGTATTATGCAAATTCATCCTACATTGGGAGAAAAATAGATTAGAATCACTATAATTTAAGTGGTTATATCACAATTAAGAACATAATTACACTAATTTTTACCACTTAACAATTATGCATGACCCCAACTTATTGTGATCTCGTGATATCAAAGGCGTAGCACATGTGTGGGCTCCTTCTATCTTTCGGATCTCCCAAAATTGTTCTTTTGTGCGTAAGATCGCTTGAAACTTCCAATTGCAATGACTCTCAACACACTACACTCTTAATCTGGTGGTGTTGGAATGTGACTTTGTAGGTACAATGATTCATTATGTGGAGCCTATTAAGTGCGTCAATCACTTCTTCCTTGTTTTGGAACTGCATCCCCTTAAATAATGATCCAAGTGGATGTTCCACTGATTCATGGTCAAATGCATCACCAAAATCACTATTTTGTTCATAAGGAAGTGTGGTATAGGTTTCAAAATGTTGGGAAGGGATGTATGGGTGGGGTAAATGATGTTGGGATTGTTGTTGTATGAAAAAGACCTCTAAGTTATCATCATCCTCATGTGCATGTTGTGTGAGGATGTCGTCCTAATCATCACTAAAAGGTTCTAAAGATGCTGAAGGAAATCCTAAAGTTTCATTTTCTGGTAAAAAAGAAGGTAATGGTGTTGTGATTGCATCGGTGAGGGAGGGAAAAATATTTGATGTCGATGGACCAGTTAAAAGCTCCTTGTATGATTGTACATCAACTTCCCATTGCCCTAAATAGGTAATGTTCAAATCAAATGTTTGTGTTGTGGGTTGTGTTTGTGAGTGATGGTGTTGATCTTGGTATTGGTTAGGAACAGAAGGATTACCTCGATAGTAGGTTGTACATATCTCAATTCTGGCCAATGTTGGGTTTGCGTTTTTTATGTCAATTAACCCTTCTAAATCTTCATTGTCTTGAAGCGTAGTTACATGTAATATGCATCTAAGCCATAAACTCGGATAGGGTTGTCGCCGCCGTCAAAAGAGGCAGTCGGAGTGACGCGATGGTTTCGTTTGACTCGCATTTTTTTTTAAAGTGATGTTACAATGCCTTTAGGTTATCCGATAATCGGGTTGGACCTAAAGGCGAGGTTTTCGAAGTATTCGAGGAGTCGCCACCAATGTTTTCATCGGAAACATTGGAAAAGGAAGAAAAATGAAGGCATTGGTTTAGAAAAAACAACTTTGGTCATTACAACTAGAGTCAAGTAAGGGAGTTAGTTACGTGTAGGGAAGGTATTAGCTTCCCTACGACGCCCCTTTCGGGTTCCCTATGATGGACTGTTTATATGAAGAAATAAAAACCATAAATTTCACTTTTACCCTTTATTTCTTTATTGCAAAAATTAAAATGTTGACTACATGGTCCTAAGTAATTAATGCACATCAATACTATCTAAAAATCAATAAAGTGGAGAAGAGAGTGTATAGGAACCTTCAAAGCAAGCTTTTATATGAATTCTTTGAAAATAGGGTGCTTTTTGGCAATCCCCGGCTCTACAATGTTGATCGCTCTTCCTCGCAACAGAGGGAAAGTTGTAGACTTGTGTGAAAAGGATGAAGACATCCCCCCCTTTTATAGAAATTCGCGCCTGTCAGGTCAGGACCGTCGTCTCGCTTGACAAGGTCGGGACCGCTGTCTCGCCAAACGGGACGGCAGTCTCGCCTTTGGCAATTGGCGAGACGGCCGTCTCGCCATTGGAAATTTGCGAGACAGCGGTCTCGCCATTGGCAAGTGGCGAGATGGCGGTCTCGCCAAACGATACGGCGGTCTCGCCCTTAGCTGATGGCAAGATGGCGGTCTCGCCAAACGAGACGACGGTCTCAGCCTTTTAGGTGGAATTTCTTATTTTTCCTATACAAAAATCCTTCTTATTCTAGTATGGGGCCTATTGATCAATTCTAGGGACCTTTTAGGCCTTGCCCATCTTTGAACGAAAGTCTTCTGCTCTTTATTTTGAGGTCGGGCAAGATTTGGGGTCTACAGCTACCCCCCTTCACCTGACTAGCCGACTATTGGCTCAATATGCCAAAAAGATCGGTTGGAGGGTGAAGGAGTTAAGCCTCTTGCCCGGTTGTCCTTCGGTTGCTTTCCTGGTTGTGGTAGCCGACCTTCTGGATGCTAAATATGATCCTCTGGGATGCTCCTTTGATGTGGTGGCTGACCCTTTCGGTTGATGAGTGCGAACCCCCATCTGGTTTAAGCCCCCTTTTGTAAGGCTTGATGAGAACGCACCCCCATCTGGTTTGACGAGTATGAACCCCCGTTCGGTAAGCCCCCTTTTATAAGGCCCGATGAGTACACACCCTCATCTGGTGTTGGCGAGTATGAACCCCCTGTTAGAATCGCGCAGCGGAATGTTCGCGTGGTCGGACAAAAACCAAGATGGGGGGTGAATTGGTTTCTTAACAAAAATTAGGTTTTCAAAATTTTCCCCAAATTTTACCGATTAAAAACTGTGTAAATGTAAATAGAGAAGAGAAGAGAATCTTACACAGGAGATTTATACTGGTTCGGATCAAAAGATCCTATGTCCAGTTGCTAATCACTCAAACAGAGGATTAACGTTGTCACTATAATCAAGTTGTTACAAATAGATTACAATTGAAAATATAAAGATAAGAAAACACCTCTCTTGAAATCCACAAGAGATGAAGAACAGTTTTCCCTAGAGACGGCACAACACACAATCCACTAAGAACTCCACTTAGTGATTCTTATCACTTCTAGCCCACACCAGGTTCCAAAAGCCCCTTTTTCTTGCAACAAACAGTTCTCTGGCACTACAACACTTAACTTTTGTATGAAAAAGGTTGTTCTGCTTTTCTGAGTGCCATAGAAGAGTTTAAGTAGAGAAATTAGGGTTTTGGAATTGGGGATTTCGAAACTAGGGTTCTTGGAAATAGGGTTTTCGAAAATAGGTTTGATTTGAAGTTAAAAATCAAAATCTGACTGAAATAATCGATTAAAAGAAGTGTTAATCGATTAAAACAGAGCCAAATATCAACAGAACCCAAACCTCTCTGTTTTAATCGATTAAAAGGTGATTTAATCGATTAAACCGCCTGATAATCGATTAAAAGTTGGTTTAATCGATTAAACCAGTGAGTTGTTACAGAAAATGATTTTTCTCACTGTTTTAATCGATTATTTACCTATTTAATCGATTAAAGCCGAGCCTGGATGATAAATTTGAGCTTTTTGAAGCTTCTAAGGTGCAGACTATGTACCGGCTATCTTAAACTCTAATATTAAGACTCAATCTAATTGAAACAGAGTTATTACAATATAAAACAAGTCTTCAACACTCTAAGTCTTTGTGTTCTTGAATCATCATCAAAATCAACAATCTTCATGTCTATTAAGTGCAGCATCAAGTCCTTGAATGTTCAATAATCTCCCCCTTTTTGATGATGATCGAAATTATCTTTTAAAGCCTTGTAATAACCTGTTTTATCTGTCATACTAACAAACACATTAAACATACCAGATAATATTTAAAAACAATCATATTATGGCTTTAAATATTTTCTCCCCCTATTTTGATTAGAATCAAAAATAAGTCATCTGTTGCAAACATAAGAGCTCCCCCTCAAAATATGCATAAGTTGGAGATAACTCCCCCTCAATCAAAGCATTAAAGAAACATCATATTTTATTGCAGAAACAATCATTTATTACAATAACAAGAGAAAATAACAAAAAGAAAATAATCAACAAAATTTAAAATTTTGCACTATCATCATCATTAAAGTGTGCATCAAATCTGTTTTCTAAACGACACACTTTATTATCTACATCAGATATACGACGAATTATTTCCTCATGTCGTACTCCATAAAGAGTGAAGAATGATTGCATCCTCTGATTCATGTCAGATAACATGTCTTCCATGGATTGTCGGGTTTCATGATGAGTAGAGGAAGTTCCAACACTTTGGATTTGGTCAGAGGGATACTCAACAGCTGGAGGCATATCTTCATCAGAATCTTCATTAGCATCACCTTGATTAGGAACGTCATCTTTGTGAACATAAACATCATTGACACGCACCATTTGGAGTTGAATCAATGTGTTGTCCAGCATGCGGTTCAAGTTATTTGTTCTAACTGCTTGTTCACCTTCAACATTCACTCCTTTATATTCAAGAATACGAGAGACAAGTAAAGCATATGGAATTTTGAATGTGGGATGACGTTTTGCTTTTAACATGGTCATTGTGACAAGAACACCCCAATCTAAAGGTTCATTATTCATTATGGCATGAATAATTCTAAGATCAATTGAAGAGCATTGGGCATGATTTGTAGCTCGAGGACATAGGATCCAAACAATTAGATGGAGAATCATGCGTTCCTCCTTCTTTAAAGGTCCAGCATGAAGGAGACGCCCAATCTCCATGGAGGGATTTCTCAGAAAAGAACGGTAAGCTAAGAACCTGTCAAAATCATCTAGCTCACCATAAATGTTAATAGCATCTTCTCTAATTGGAAAGTGAGCGACGTTTTCCCAAATATCATCGTCAAGAATAATTGTGACGCCTTTTACTCTAGAGGTAGCAATTTGATCTCTAAATTTAAATCTAGAGTAAAATACCCTAACCAAGTCCGGATAATAAGTACCTTGCATTTGGATGAAGGGAAGAACTCCTTGAATTTCAAGAAGGTTGGGAAAATTGAATCCCCTATTGATGAATTGCTCACCAATAAGAAACTTGGGAGAAATAATAGCCCTTTCCTTCCAGTAGGTCAGAAATTCTTGTTGGCCATCTGTATCAGAAATCCATCCTTCTACGGAATTAGGACGGGGTCGAGATGAGGGTGCAGATCTTCTTCTAGTAGGGATCTTAGCACGAGAAGATGAGGCCATTGAAAGATTAGAAGAATAACAAGAAGATTTAGAAAGCTAAGTGTAGTGAGAAGAGGGCAAGATTACTAGAATAAGGCAAGATAGCTTGATTTCAAGAGATAGAAGTGAGTAGAAGTGAAATGAAGGTCCCTATTTATAACCAAGCATCTCCAACGTTCATATGGAAGGGAATAATAGTCAAAATATCCGTTGGCAACGGCTAGGAAGCAAACTTGGTCGGATTTAATCGATTAAAATTCAAATTAATCGATTAAATCACTTCCAGACCCATTTAATCGATTATTTTGGGCTATTAATCGATTAATACTGGTTTTAATCGATTAATGGACGAATTAATCGATTATTCTAGAGAGGAATGCCCTGTTTTAAGTGTTTTGGATGCAAATAATCGATTAGAACTCCAATTAATCGATTATTCCAGAGAGGAATGCCCTTTTTTGAGTGTTTTAACACATGATAACCTATGAACATCCTACAAAATGAATTATAACATTACAACCATCCAAAAACAGCCAAATTAAGCAGAATTTAAGCTATTTCTAATATCCCTAAGTCTCTTCTAAGATCATAAAACCTATCCTTGGGTAGAGGCTTAGTAAAAATATCTGCTAATTGATTCTTTGTATCAACATACTCTATTTTACAGTTTCCTTTGCTGATATGATCTCTCAAAAAGTGATGTCTTATT